TGCAGTTTTCTCATTTTATTGTATGGCCGGGATTTACGGGTCTTGGAACCGGACCTATGGTAAAACCGGGTCGGTTTCGGGTCGTATTTTTTCTTATTTGACCCGCCGGTTCCGGGCAGAAGGCAGGTTCATTGGGTTAGGGCGGGTCATTTGAATCGGCCCATAGATAGCCGGGCGGGTTTCGACCCATCATTTAAGGCACGTCAAGCCAGCGGGACGGGTAGGGTCATGAATCGGCCCGACCTTTGGACATGTCTAATTATATATAATATTGTGTGCAGTTAATTATTATGAAATATGAGAGAAAATACAACATATTTAATAACATTGTCATTTAATTTATGATAGTAATCTATACTTATATTAAAAGGAAACCTATTTACTAAACATAGTAGGTAGAAAAGTCAACTTTAATTAATGAACTTCTAATTTTATCATGTAGTAATTAATGCATTTATAATTTTAATCAAGTTTCCTATTTTACATATTGTTTTTAATCCTTCTTATCTTGACATAAAAAAAATCCCATAAAATGGGGTGAGCAAAAACAATAAAAATTCTGTCTCTAAAAACTACAAATCAATATTACGATCTTGAATAATACACTAACAAATTATAATATATTTTTATAAAACTTATAAAAAACTATTAAAAAAACTTGGTTCGTATATTTGTATGGATATTTATATTTTTTTAATATTATCTTTGTGTTAAAAAAAACTATTTAACACTATTCTTTTTTATTATATAATAAAATAATAATTAAATATTATATGATGAACAAGAATAAATAAAACTGTTACTTTTTTTTATATCAAGGGATAAATTTATATACTGAAATTAAAGTTTTATTAGTATAAACATTTTAGTGAGATAATATATTAATTATTTTACAAGCTAGCCCTAACATACTCATATTTAAGTTCTGGCTAAAAAACAATGCTGGTTAAAAGATATGAAAAAAAACTTATAACCTTATTATTTTTTAGACTTAACGTTGATCAAAAGAGGTAGAAAATAGATAATAACACTATTACTTTAAAGAATTAAACGGACAAGGATGTTAAAATAACTCATTTAATATCTATGTTCCGTGCATCGCACGGGGTACGTACTAGTTTTTGTTTTCAAAACAAACAAGATACTTTGAAAGGTCCCCAATTATTTTATTGGTAATATAATAACTAAATAAGGGGTGAGAATGATGAGAAAGCTTATAATTCGTATTAAATCCAAAAGTAAAATTAGTGATAAAATTACTTATCGTCCAATATCAATTGAAGTTGGCTCATGAGAAATATAAAATTACTCAGCTAAAATCATTCGTTACTACGTGCATTGCACGTGCACTTTACTAGTATATATTAATTTAGGGACAATGATCATTCTTGGAAGTTCCATTTTTAACTTCATA